TTTCAAGCTCTTTTCAACAATCATTTTCTTAAGAAATAATAGTATAGGTAGCAAAAACAAGTGTCTTTTTTCCTCTTAAATAGGAAAATAGAAAATATCTCATCATTTTGGAAACTCATGTAAAGCTCAATTAAAAAAAAAAACTCTTGGGCCTCCCTGGTGGCGCAGTGGTTGAGAGTCCGCCTGCCGATGCAGGGGATACGGGTTCGTGCCCCGGTCCGGGAGGATCCCACATGCCGCGGAGCCATGGCCGCTGAGCTTGCGCGTCCGGCAAGGGGAGAGGCCACGACAGTGAGAGGCCCACGTATTGCCAAAAAAAAAAAAAAAAAAACCTCTTTTTGAAGGAAAAGAGTTGATTATATTGTAGTAGGTAATTTATGAAAAATATAGTCGAATGCCACCTTGTAAAAGGTACTCTTGTAAGTGCTATAAAAGATATTTAAAAATGTAAGAAAAACCCATGACCTCCAGCAGCTCATTTGACAGATGATGAGATAATACACACACACACACACACACACACACAAACATTTGTGTTGAAAATTTAGATGACAGTATAAGAAATTATGTGATAAGTACCGAATGATGGATATGGACAAGATGTTCTGGAGATATTTCCCAGTAATTATCAGAGTTGTTTTCCTGCACAAGGTACTTAGACAAGCAGTGTAGAGTTAGAAGAATATTCTTGGCAAAAAGGCTCTGAGCAGTATGGAGATTCCTTTAAAAACTAAAAATAGAACTCCTATATGACCCAGCAGTCCCACTACTGGGCATATACCCTGAGAAAACCATAATTCAAAAAGAGTCATGTACCACAATGTTCATTGCAGCTCTGTTTACAATAGCCAGGACATGGAAGCAACCTAAGTGTCCATCAGCAGATGAATGGATAAAGAAGATGTGGCACATATATACAATGGAATATTGCTCAGCCATAAAAAGAAACAAAATTGAGCTATTTGTAATGAGGTGGATGGACCTAGAGTCTGTCATACAGAGTGGGGTATGTCAGAAAGAGAAAGACAAATACCGTATGCTAACACATATATATGGAATCTAAGAAAAAAAAATGTCATGAAGAACCTAGAGGTAAGACAGGAATAAAGACACAGACCTACTAGAGAATGGACTTGAGGACATGGGGAGGGGGAAGGGTAGGCTGGGACAAAGTGAGAGAGTGGCATGGACATATATACACTACCAAATGTAAAATAGATAGCTAGTGGGAAGCAGCCACATAGCACAGGGAGATCAGCTCGGTGCTTTGTGACCACCTAGAGGGGTGGGATAGGGAGGGTGGGACGGAGGGAGAAGCGAGAGGGAAGTGGGGATATATGTATATGTATAACTGATTCACTTTGTTATAAAGCAGAAACTAACACACCATTGTAAAGCAATTATACTCCAATAAAGATGTTAAAAAAAAAAAAAAAAAAGGCTGTGAGCAAGTGCCTATCAATGGCAAAAAATCAAAAACTTTTTTCCCAAAGTAGAAATGAAGGATTGGGCTGCAAATAAAGGTGGAGGGACCTTGAAGGAGAGGATAATTTAACATTGAGAATACTTACCTTCTTTACATTTAAATTGCTATGTAAACAAAACATGCCTAAAATTTGTTTTTGAGTATGTTCTTTTGCACATAAATGTGATGATACATTTTTGTTTCTGCTTTGGCTCATTTTCATATTGAAGTCTATCTATTCTGTGAGTTATAGCATCGAGAAAGAATTAAAGTATTTTTGAAAATACCCCAAAACAGGAAACTTTTGAACCTGTCCCAGAGGATATTTTTTCTTCATTTTCAATGAATTAACTAGCAGAATCTCTATTGATATTAATTAATTAATACTTTTGTTTTAAATGGGAAGTTTGATCTCTAAGTTAAATGTGGAAAAGTAGCAACTCAGCTAGTTTCTTCTGGTCTACATTGTAGTCTTAACACCTGCCTTTTAATGAAAATAGCAAGTTCTCCTAGGAAAGGATGGAAACTATTAGCAGAACCTCAGAGAAACAGCTTTTTCCCCTCTAAGGCAGATGAGAATCTGCACATGGAGCTGAAATTTTCTGAGCACAGAATTTCATAACACATATTTCTGCTCTTCCTTTTTGCAATATACCAGTGTAAACTTTTTTCCCTATTCGTTTATTCTGAAATGGCTTGCCTTTTCTTAGGTAGTGTGTGAGGTTAGATAATGTAAATGGAGTATGTGAGTGCAACTGTGTATGTGTTCCAAGATGATGGGGAACCACCTTCTGCAACTTTGGGGTTGAACCATTACCTCCATCCCCACCGTGGTTTCTTTTCTTTTTTTAATTGGGGTATAGTTGTTTTACAGTGTTGTGTTAGTTTCTACTGTACAGTGAAGTAGAGTTCCCTGTGCTATACAGCAGGTTCTCAATGGTTATCTATTTTATACAAATTATATATTATATATTATATATATTATATATATATTATATATATTATATATTATAATTATATATATATATATATAATATATATGTCAATCCTGATACTGTGTCTTCATTTGGCCTTTTAAAAAAGTTCCTCTTCCTTTCAGTCTTGCTAGCCTGACAGTGGATGTCCATAGTCTTTTAACTGGTATTTGGTACACAGACTGTACTTGTCTCCATTAACTCACTTAGTTTCATTTCTATAATTTTTTTTTTTTTTTTTTTTTTGCGGTACTTGGGCCTCTCACTGTTGTGGCCTCTCCCGTTGCGGAGCACAGGCTCCGGACGCGCAGGCTCAGTGGCCATGGCTCATGGGCCCAGCCGCTTGGCGGCATGTGGGATCTTCCCGGACTGGGGCACGAACCCGTGTCCCCTGCATCAGCAGGCGGACTCTCAACCATTGCACCACCAGGGGAAGCCCTCTATACTTGTTTTTAAAGTCTGACATTTAGTTACTTGAGAGTTTCTAAAGCAGCTTTTGAAGGAGGCTCCAGTAGCAAACAATTAAGACCATATTGAACTTTTCAACAGTCCTGCTCTGTTAAGGGCAAAGCAGGAAAAGGTTAGGACTTCTTGGTACCTGAAGCAAACATGTATTAAAAGGAAGGAGAAAAAGCCTTTAAATCTCAAATGACTGTAGATAGATAATAATGAGGCATCTGTGTAGAATGTTAACACTTGAAGAATCTTGAAGATATATGGAATTTCTGTGTACTAATCTTGCCACTTTTCAGTAGTTTGACATTTTTTCAAAATAAAAAGTTACTAGTATATTTTACCACATAAAAAAAGAAAAAGATTTTTAAAAGGTTACCAAAAACAATCTCAAAGGATCAGCAATTTTTTCCAGATTATTGATGAAAAATACCTTTGGTATTAATGTCCCCCATTTTTCTGTTCTCCCTCTCTTGATGTCCAACATTAATTGTACTTTAATAAAGACAGAATTAAACAAGATAATGACCTGTGCCAGCATGTTCAGTAAGGAAAGATCTTCCCACGAAGCATCATGGCAGCATTTTTCATTTGCAGCTCCCTTCATCACGTTTAAGTTATCCAGTTTATTTCTTTCAACTTTGAAGTTTCTTTTCCATCAAAAGGTCAAATTTGGGTTAATTACCCCAAACACACAATCTTTTGGTGAATCTTTTTTCCACTTTTCAAAACTATTGAGTTATGACCCCAGTTAATTGTGTGGTTGCACTCTCGTACTGTGTTTAATGCTCATATTGTAGGAAAAGTTACCCCAAAAGAAGAGATATTAGCAGTGAGAAATGTCGCTGACACCTGACACAGAGCCTGGCATGTAATAAGTGGCCCATGCCTATTTCTTGGATCACTGATGAATGAATCAATAGCTAACAGTAATTACTTACCGCCTACTACGCCCTTAAACTGAGGACTTAATTGTGTATTACTCCTGAATCCTCACAACAGCTTCATGTGAACTGTATACCTCAGCACATGTCTACTGTCAGCGCTCCCCGGCTCTCCTTCGTCAGTCCCCTAAGAGAAGGGTACCCGCCAAGTGGATCATGATAAACCAGTTGCTGCTTTGGGGTTTTGCTGCCTGGGTAGTTTTGTACTTTGTGGAGGATGTGTTGTATACACAGTGTACCCAAACATTTGTTTAATGAAATGATAGAAGCAATCATCAATATATATAATCAAAAGTAGATATTCAGGGCTTCCCTGGTGGCGCAGTGGTTGAGAGTCCGCCTGCCGATGCAGGGGACGCGGGTTCGTGCCCCGGTCCGGGAAGATCCCACATGCCGCGGAGCGGCTGGGCCCGTGAGCCACGGCCACTGAGCCTGAGTGTCCGGAGCCTGTGCTCCGCAACGGGAGAGGCCACAATAGTGAGAGGCCCGCGTACCGCAAAAAAAAAAAAAAAAAAAAAAGTAGATATTCAAACAGTAGTTTCTGTTTGACTTTGGGATATGTTATTATAAATTTCTCGATGCAAACTGACTTTCTTGTTTTCTCATAACAGTTGATTGGTGTTCTTTGGAGAGACATGACTTACATGCTTTTGTCTTTGGATTCTAGAATAGCCTTAGAAGTATCCTTTTAGATATTACACACACACACACAATTTGATATTTTGTGTTATATACTTTATATACTAATTTACCTCATATCTTTATATGTGTGATAAATGGCATTGACATTTTAGAAATACGGTATACTGTATTATATTTTATTTGTCTCATACTGCCTTTCTGTAGAATGTCAGTCATGAGGGCAGCACTTTATCTGGTTCATCACTCTGTCTTTGCATCTAGAAGTATGCCTGGCATGGAGTAGGCACTCAGTAAATGTAATTAAAAAGCAAATGCTTTGTACAGTATGGTGACTATAGTTAACAGCAACAACAATAACAAAGCAAATGCTTTTCAATAAGAGGTTTACTGCTAATTTTATTCATAGGTTAGTGAGTGCTCTAGTTTAATTTAAATAGTCCTCTTCCTTTTCAGTGATTGTCAAACTAGACCTTATATTTGCTTTCTTTCTCTTTTTTTCCCTTTTTTTTTTTTTTTTTAAAGGAAGAATCCCCAGCACAAGATAGAATATAGACATAGTACCTTTCCAGGTAAGTAATTTTCCTTCAGGAAACTCCAAATGAAACAGACCTTCAAATGGATTCTCCTGTTAAACCTAGATACAGTTTCCAGTTATTGTGAATTTTTTTAATCTCTGCTTCTGTGAATTTGTTAAATTGCTGATTTTAATAATTTTCTTGGATTTAATAACTGATGAGTTTTTATATAGCAGATGTTTTCTACAATCATTGTCCAACAGTATATATTTGCCTTGGTATCTGTTGTGATTCTTTTGTTTGCAGGTACCTTAAAACAAAATCTCAAACTGGCCTAAATGATAAAGAGATCATATTGGCTTCTATAACTGAAAAGTCCAGAAGCAGGGCTAGATTGGACAAGATTTGTTGCTTTGGCTCATTAATAATGTCAATAATGTCACCAACACCCAATTTCCTTCCATCATCCTGTCTTTAGAGGGGTGATTTTTATCCTAAGACTGGCTCCTCTCCCCACCAAGGAACTATATGCATCCTTATTCAACTGGCTGAACTCCATTTAACATGGTAAACTCCCCGTGTTTACATGTAAGGAGAGAGAGAGAACAACTTTGACTCTTGCTATTCCTAGGAAAAATCATAAAATTAACTTTTTTTAAACTGGATTAGGTTACCTTCTTATTCTTGAATTAATCACTGTGACCACTGATTAGTTTGTTCCACCCTTGGAACCAAGGTAGAGTCCCTTTCTTCAGAACCACAGAGATCCCCAGTAGAAGCTAGTTTTGGGGAAGGAGAAGGGGAGATAGACACCAGAGATGCAACTATTGAATGACCGTCATTCCTGTTTACATCAGTCTGTTTTACCTTCTGTTTCCCCTGCTTCCGAACTCTAATATTTTTTCCCGTTAACAACTTCTGGCTTCTTCGTATCATTTATATAATGCAGAGGCCAATTCAGCATCCAGTATTTCTGCCCACAGAGTGAGAGAGTAAAATGTACTATCCAGGCTATGCCCACTTGCCTTTGTATATGTATAAACACAGCCAACTTGTAACCAAGTGATAAAAATAATTAATGTCACCACAAGGGAATTCTATTTGCTATTTCTTATTGAAACACACTTCAGTGCTTTAATACTCCAGATACAGATTTAATCACTTTATCTGAGCTAATGTGGTACGGAGTTTATATGTTATCCTTTTCTTTATTGGGGCTGTATCTAAAGCTATAGCTTTTATGGTTATTAAATTAACTTTCCTTTGAACAATAATGTAATAATATTTGATTGAAACTCTATTTTATTGACAGATTTCAGCACTGCCCCATGAAAGTGCATTTGACACATTTGTATATCTTTACAGAACTAGGAACCATTTTCCTAAAACCGACAATATGCATCATATGGCATAGTTAAAAGTATCTGAATTTTCTTTGAAAAATCTCTTTGAATTATCATTGAAGTGTCTTCTGAATGAAGAACGTATTTTTAGAACAATTAACTTTTCTTAAAAACTGTTTATTTTGTTGGAAAGACAGTTGTGGTTTTTTTATAAGTATGATATTTTAATGTAACGGTTTAGCCTTATATATTTAATGTACTTTCAAGAGTTGTTGTGTGGCAATATAGTCAGAATATCTCTTCCTACTCTAAAAACCTATAAATTAAGGTATCTGGGGTATTTAAAATATTAAATGTTGAGGTCTCATACTTCTTAATTTAGAGATACCTAAAATAAAATGCTAACATACTTGTTTTTCTTATTTCCCAAATCTTTAAAGTTTAACATTACCCAAGATCTTAATCTGATTTATGTAACAATTCATTTACTCATTCACTCATTTATTCATTTATTATGTGTCTTCCAAGTGAGCAGGGTTACAGAGATACATGCTTGGGGTTCTGGTTCTACATGCTTGGGGTGAGATGCTCTAAAATCTTGGAGGAAAGGGATGGAGCACTTTTTGCCAGGGTTTATCAGGGTGGACTTGATAAGGGAATTTTAAGTTGGTCTTTACAGATGGTAGGATTTCAATTATCTTTGTTTCTTAGCTTTGCCTGGGTGGGTATAGGACATCCCAGACAAAGTGAATAATAGATGAGTCAAGGACATTGAGTAGAAAATGGAAAGTTGTGTTTGGAGTTAGAAGGTGGATCAGTTTAACTGACAGGGAGAGTCTCTGTAGTTACTGTGAATGATACTAAAGGGGTGTATTGAAGTCAGATTACAGAAGCTCTTGAAAGCTAGACCAAAGTGGTATTGTGCACCGACAGACAATGGTGAGCCAGTATTTTACCCCTGATGATGAGCAGTCTGAATTAGAGTAGGGGAAGCCTTCTGGAGATGAGTTAGGTAGTTGAATAAAGGACCAGAACTAGGCTACCATGAGAGTAGGAAGATAGGATTGGATACAAGTGAGATTTTGAAGGAAGAGTCAATAGGATTTGCCAACTGATTGGTTGTGGTGTGGGGGGTGGGATGAGGTAAAGGAAATAGGAATGACTGAAAATTAAAGTACAGATTATCAGGAGGCTGGAGATGATAATAGAGATCAGGAGGAAGAAATAGGTAGTTTGTGGGGTTTTTTTTTTTAACACATGTTAAATTTGAGGTGGGGGTATCATAAATACATAATAAACAGTAAAAGTCAATATAGACCCATATACTATATACCAAATACTATAGAATTTTATAATACAGAATAACTACATGAAATTCTTATTTAATTTCTGATTTGTAGCACTCCTAAAACACTTCAGTTTGTAAAGTTCTTCCGCACATGTAACAGTTTATGCAGTGTATTCCAATTTTTGTAGGTTAGACTGGTATCATCTGTTAAGCTTCTTATATATCTAATTGGTTTAAAATTTCACTAACTTTCCACACTTTTTCATAGTGCTGCAGTTTTAGCACAACGTATTGAATACAAGAGTAGTCAATGCCAGGAAAGTTTTATTTTAAACTTTCTTAGCTACCTTACTTGTTGACAGCATTTGAAAGAAATTATCATCAGCATTTTATTACCTGATTATTGGAGTCATTCTTTCTGGCTTTGATTATTATGTGATAGTCATGATTCTAGGTGATCAGTACCATTCATGGCTCAAAATCTAGAATGTCCTACTGATAGCTATTTTCATATTTCTCTAGTTCTACAGTTGTATGCACACATGTGCTTATGGAGACTTTTTTCTTTCCAGAAGTAGAAATTAAAAGATCTAGAAAGAAAGCTATTAAGAAAGGTTGGTGAAACTTAAATGAGATTCTGTAAACTGCTGCTTACTGTGGGGAAACCTGAGAGATTTTGGAACATATAAAAGGCTAATGCAGTGGTGTTTTAAAAAAGAACTAAACTTAATGTGTAATAAAGTGGATCAGACCTGCACAAACTGCTTTCCCGAAGTTAAAATATGAATACCCAACTAGTAGCTTGGTCTTTAGTAGTAAAATGAGGCTTTTAAAAATGTTTATTCTTATAGTATGTAGTAAGCTTTCATCTTTAGAGATGCTGGGCTAAAGTATTTTTTCACTTAAATGAAAATTAATATCCTAACTAGTCCTAAGATATACTGGAAAAGAAAGGAAAATAAAACGTGAAGAATTATTGATGTTAAGCTGTAATGAGACATCTGTCTTATTATTGCCTATTACCAGAAAACTATTTGGAGAAAATCAGCGATTTGGAAAGATTTTTTTCTCCATGTAAAAATCTTCCAGCATGTATTTGACACAGTATACTCTTCAGTAGCTCTGCAGACTTGGTTCTTGGGATAAGACTTTGATGGTGAAATTTTAAATTGTACAGGAAATATTGGCTACAAACTTCAGAGTTGTCATTCTGTTATTATAAATTCCTCTGCATAAATAGAAAAGTCAGAAATTACCATATCCTAATACCAAATAGTTAATAGCATGTTGTTTCAAATATGTTAAAGAGTTTGTTACTTTTTCTAGAGGTTGTTATTTTTCATTATTATGGTAGAGCAGTGTTACCCATCAGTTTTTTTTAAAAAGTGACAGCTTATTTCTCTTGTGCTGCTTTCAAGTAGTCAAGCTGTCAGCCTGTCTCTGCATTTCATACTCCTGTAGAGAAAATGAAAATTCCTGTTTTGTCCTTAAAATTAGAACTTTGGAGTTGGAAAGGATCTTTGAGGTCATTTAATGAACATCCTTTGATTCACAGATGAAAAGATAAATTCCATTAAATCCCTTGTTCATTGTCATGGGCTTCATGACGCAGATCTTTATGCTTCTACCCTCCCAGTCTATCTCTTTTTCTTAAACCATGCTATTTTTTAAAGAGACTTCTTGTTGGGTGAGGGGAATGGAACACCACATAAAAACAGCAAAAACTAGCAGCTAAAAACTTAAAAGTGACTTATGTGAAGATAGAGGAAAAATTATTCCTTCCAAGCTCACCTTGATTTGGAAGAAACAAGCTCACTTCTGATTTCTTAGACATGCTCAACAATTATATTTCAAATAAGGTAGCTGCAATGTAAGAAAATGCTAAATGTAGGCTCTTATTTTTTCAGAAACAGTATTACGCTATTTAATTCTTTGGAAATCTATTGGAAATCACAACTACAAAAAATAAAACTACAAAAATTATTTTTTTGCTATTGATTAAAAATATTAAACAGTTACTACTCCCTCTCCTGTTATTTTTGTACTTCAGTAAGCTTTTCACTAACCGTAGTGTTCTGTGTACAGCTTTGGGGTCTTGGCTTGGGATCTTCTATGATGTGACTCCCATGACTGAGTTGTCTGATTTTCTAACCAACAAGCTTCCTTGTCTGAGAGGCTTTCTTTGAAATTTTTGTGTAGCAAGCAGGGAGGGTTTATATGAACTTTACTGGCTTCATCACTTTAAATCCAGATATTCAGATACCATGCTTCAGCTTGCTCAGAAAATACTTGCATGGGTGTTTTTTCTTGGTTTCTCTGAATTCCCTTTGCATAAAAACTTATTAATTGTTATGGTAAAGACAGGTTAGGTGCTAGTCATATTTATTTCAGAACCATACCTCCTGAGATTATTCCCACGATTCAGGAAATCATGAAATAATTCAGATCAACAGGTGAGCTGATTCAGAGCATTTTCCAAGTGAGGAAAGTTTCGTTATCTCTATGGCCCAGTTACACTGAAAGGCAGAAACTTATTTCTCTAAAAATACCTTCAGCACTTAAAAAAAAAAAAACCCTCCCACCTAGATGGCATTTGTATTGTGGAATATTTAAAGTCACTACTACAGGGCTTCCCTGGTGGCACAGTGGTTGAGAGTCCGCCTGCCGATGCAGGGGACACGGGTTCGTGCCCCAGTCCGGGAAGACCCCACATGCCGCGGAGCGGCTGGGCCCGTGAGCCATGGCCGCTGAGCCTGTGCTCCGTGACAGGAGAGGCCACAACAGTGAGAGGCCCACATACCGCAAAAAAAACAAAAAAACAAAAATAAAGCCACTACTACAGAATTTGCTACAGGAGGGCCCATTTAATTGATTCCACAAGGACGTCAGCATTCAAAATCCTGAAATGTCGACCTGGGACCACTAACAAAGGACACAGAGCTGAGTTCCGGCACTGACTTGCCCTTCTCATGACTTTGGCTCGTCAGGTGCTTTCACTTGAAGCACAAAGTACCCGTTCTGGAATTTGACTACCAGCTACATTGAGTTCTGTTACCTATGGTTTTTTCAGATTCTGAACTTCCTGTTAAAAGAACATGAATGTGATGTTTATGTAAACATCAAGTGTAATGATGATTTGATAGAGAAAAACAAATTTTTGATGAAACAAGTGTAAGTCTTCTGATTAATACATCCTTATCGCTTGAACAAATGAGCCTACCCAGTAAGTTGCTAAAGATTTCCAGCGTTCATTGAGGCTTAAAGCTCCTTCAATTAGCAGGGTTTAAATAAAAGTCTTTAATGTAATACATTGTGTTGACATGCAGGCTCATGATTAAAAGTGTAGGTTGAAATAAGAAGGGTTTCTGTAAACTAAAGGTGTTCAGCAGTTGATTCGCAAATAGTTCATTTGTTCGTTCATATATTTAACAAATATATGTATATAAAGTACCTTATACGTGTTAGGCACTGTTGTAGGAGCTGAGGATACAATAGAGACGAAGCCTTGCTTTTGTAGTATTTCACGAAAGTGGACAGTGCGCATGTTAACAATTATATGATGTCATGTAGTGATAATTGCTAAGAAGAAAAATAAAGCTTTGTAAGAGGACAGAATGGCAAGGGTGTGCATGGGGATGGGGGGCAGGTCCCATTTCAGATAGGACAGTAAAAGAAGGACTCTGTTAATTTGACATCGGAGCAGAGGCCTGAAGGAGAGAGCAAGCAGGTGATTCTCTGAGGGAGGAGTATGCCAGGCAATGGGAATGGTGCTTCAAAAGCCCTGGAGATGATCCTGCTTGGACTATTCAAGGAGCAACGAAGAGAGGGTAGGATTGGAACGAAGTGTAATTGAAGAATGGTAGATGAGATCAGAAAAGCCAGAAGTGAGCCAGTTTTGTAGGGTATTGGAGGCCAAGAGCTACAAATGAGGACTTCAGATCTTATTTAGAGTGAGATAAAAAGCTATAGGAAGGTTTTCTGGCTTCTTTGTGGAGAACAGATAAGAGTGGAAGTAGGGAACCCAGTTAGGACGATATTGGATTAGACCAGGAAGAAAATGGTGGTATAGGGACCAGGGTATTGGAGTGATGTGAGAAGTGGTGGATGTATTTTGACAGTACAGCCAATAGGGTCTTTTGACATATTAAATATTACAGGGGATATTCAAGGGTGACTCCAAGGTTTCTTGCCAAAGCAGCTGGAAGTTTAGAAAGTTGGAGGAGTCATACATTCAGGACTGATAAGAGAATGACCAGATTTGGGTGAAGTACCTCAAGAGTTTTGTTCTGGAAATGTTGCGTTTCAGATTTCTGTTAGTTACCAAGTAGAGATAATGCACAGGCAGTGAGATAAATGAGTCTGGAATTTAGGCAATGGTCAGAGCTTAAGGTATAACAAATTCGGGAATTTAGGGTATATAACTAGGTGGGATCATCTAAGGAGTATGTCAGAAAAGAGGTCCCAACCTGAAATTTGGGCACTCCAAAATTCAGTGGTTGGAAAGATGAGGAAGATACAGCAAAGGAAATGGAGAAGGAACAGCCAGTAAAGTAGGAGAACCTGACGTTGTTTCGGGTTTATATATTTTTTTCTTATAAATCTGCTAAGATAATTTCAGAATTTGAAAGGAAACTCTTTATTGAGATGTCATTAGTTATATATACGAGATACTTCCAAGAGTAAAGTGGACAAGAACAGAAATACTGCTGCTCTTCCCTCCTCACTCCCTTCCCCATCTGCAGACTGCCCTCTAAATGTGCTTTTAATTGTATTCTATCGTAAAAGTTATATGGGGAGTCGAGATTAGTTAGACATAGAACATGCCCTCAGGATGCTTACAGGAGATAAGAAGTGTACAAAAATAAATATAATGCCAGACTTCCCTTAAGGAACTGGTGTGCTTCTTATGCTAATGAGAATTGTGCGAATTATTATGTAGCCTTTTTAGCTTTGGCTACCAAGAAACTCCGGGAGAAATTTGATGCTCAATTTATATGAATTATGTTAAAAATTGAGGCTGACATACTTATATTCTGCTTTCTTTGTTCTTAGTTTCTACTTTTATTTGTATTTTTATTGTCTCATTATTACTGTTATAAGCTATCTCAAATCCTCTTGGAATGAGTAGTGATTATTAAGAAAAATATAATTGTCTGGGCTATGGAAGTTAAGAAGACAGATAAATTACTTCCTTTGTCATCATTCCCCCATCAAAATTTTTCCCCATCAAATTTCTTAACTTTCATTTACGTTATATCTATCACATATGAACATTTTAGGAAGAAGTTAGCTAAAGCATATACAAAAGTACAAACATTTTTAACCTGTACATTTGCTCTGCATCACAGGGATTGTCCTCTGCCATTCAGAAGATTTCCAGATAGAATCTTCCTACCTGTTTCTTAAATGCTCCACATCTCTCACTGCCTTGTTTTAAACCAACTCTGTTTCTCACTGTGGAAAGAAAATAAAACAGAGTGGGATGAGGGAAGACATGAGTTTTGAGACAGAAGAATTCTAGAATTGTAATTCTACTATTATAATGTTATTTAGAAATCTATAAAGTCTAATGGCTGTTACCATAGTAATCCTAGTCCTATTGAAGTATGAGCTAAATTTTCCAAAGTATGTAAGCTTACATTTCCTCATTTGGTCACAACCCTGGTGTGTCCATCAGATTGTGCTAGGTTTGCAGCGATAACAAACAGTCCTCAAATTTTAGTGCCTTACAACGATAAATAGGTGTATTTCTCCTTCATGTTACATGCATGTAGCTACATGTTGGCTGTGGCTCTGTCTCATGTGTGTTCTCATCCTAACTCTAGGCTGAAGGATCAGCCTCTATCTGGGACACACTGTTCTCCTAGCAGAGGGGAAATGGCAATAGCAGAACCACAGAAAGGCCCCTAAAGCTTCTCCATGGAAGCTGTTACTTCCACTCACTTTTCTTTGGCCAAGTCTGATGTCAGTGGGGGTGGGTAAATAGAATCACATCACAGGGAGCGACAGTGAATTACTGGGACAAAAATACATTCTACCACAGTGGAAGGTAGCATAGCATGAATATGATTATGATATTATTAAGGAACCATTATGAATCTCAGAGGACATTTTAGTCTTGGGAGCCTCATGGTAGGAAATGTTAGAATTAAGCAAATGTTAAAAAAAAAAGTTAGAATTATAACAAATGAGAGCTTTAGCCCCCTTTCTAGAAATTTGTAGTAGTTAGCTTTGTATTAAGTAAAATTAATTCTTCTTGGCAGAAAAGGATATTTTACAGTTAGATGTTTCTAATCCCAGGTTGAGTGGCAATTGATTTGTCATGTACTAAACTGTTTTTCAGTGAGACACATTTCAGATGAAGATGACAGTGTTGGCCAACCCAGTGAGTACAGCGTGCATGACAGCGTTACAGATGATGAGGGAGAAGAATATGAGCCAACAGATGAAGATTCCGACTGGGAACCGGGCAAGGAAGACCTAGAAAAGGAAGATATGGAAGGGCTTTTGAAAGAAGCGAAAAAGTTTATGAAAAGAAAAAAGTAACTCTTCTCTGCAGTAATATATGGCTCATATTTACCATTTCTTTGTGGAAAAATAATTCAGGAACTAAGGAAGCACTTAAGTGATAATTGTTTTCCTTCTTTTTATAGTTATGACTTTACTATTGACTCTTTACAAGTGAAACACTGAAATGTCAACCTTCAGTGTAGTGGATGGAATTTGTTTTGTTTTGCTTTTTCTACCCTATTTAAAGCATCTGGAAATAATAAGCAGACAGAGAGCTAAAAAGAAATAATGGATATTTTTCATGTACTTTGTGTGTTTATAATAAAACTAAAAGCCATAGGTTGCACAAAACATTGGTCTCTTTTCTTTTTTCCAAAGATTCTGTCTTTATATAGAATACTTATGCCAGTATAACCAGGCAGATTACATAATTGCTGGGAAAGCATGCTTCTTTCATTCCTATTAAAGTAGTTCTTCAAGCAGAACCAGGCTTTAAAAAAATAACAGCCATCATATAATGGCTGTTATTTTTTTCTAGAACCCTAGATGTGAGCTTTGCAATTTCATTTACCACTTTTATTCTTTGAAACAGGGAAATCAGTACCAAATGGATACTGCAAATAGATTCAGCTAGACTGTAGAAGAGAAATGTCCACCATGTTGGGGATGTTATTTTGTGTCCCAACTCTGTAATTTACTGTAAGTCTGGGTTTAAAAGTATTTAGGAAAACTCAAAGAATTTGACCATTTCTTTTACAAACTGAAGTCCTGCCTGATTATTTTAGCTCTCAATGTGCTGTCCTTACATTAAGAATAAAGAAAGTATTTTTAGCCATAATTTTCTCAAATGAGATATTAGTTCTTTTATCCTCAGATGAAAGTAGCAAGTTGTCTGCCAGCATTCAAGATGCTGGCCTTTTATTTCAAGAAGAAACTCTTTCTCCAGTTTTATGTAGTGTATCTCTGTATCTCTGTTCTTTCTTTTTTTAATTAATTTATTTTGGCTGCGTTAGATGTGGCGAGCGGGGGCTACTCTGTTGCGGTGCACAGGCTTCTTACTGAGGTGGCTTCTCTTGTTGCAGAGCACAGGCTCTAGGTGTGCAGGCTTCAGTAGTTGTGGCATGCAGGCTCTAGAGTACAGGCTCAGTAGTTGTGGCACACGGGCCCAGTTGCTCCGTGGCATGTGGGATCTTCCCGGACCAGGGATCAAACCCACGTCCCCCACACTGGCAGAAGGATTCCCAACCACTGTGACACCAGGGAAGTCCCTGTATCTCTGTTCTTTTGTTTGTTTGTTTGTTTGCGGTACGCGGGCCTCTCACTGTTGTGGCCTCTCCTGTTGCGGAGCACAGGCTCCGGATGCGCGGGCCCAGCGGCCATGGCTCACGGGCCCAGCCGCTCCGTGGCATGTGGGATCTTCCCGGACCGGGGCACGAACCCGTGTCTCCTGCATCGGCAGGCGGACTCTCAACCACTGCGCCACCAGGGAAGCCCTGTATCTCTGTTCTTAAACTACTTTAGGCTCTGTAATACTCTTCATTTGAGATGACTTAGAGTCTTTGAAATATAGTTTAGAATCTTTAATTTGGGTATGTACACAACACAGTAGATACAATATTGAAATCATAAACCAAAAGTTTCCTTGTTAAACACTAATATTTTCTATTCTAAAAGAACCTAAAAATGTATATCTAGAAAGAGCAAGACAGATTTATAATTGTTTTCTTAGTGTCTTTAAATTTGTTTTCAAGAAATTGTATAATATTAAAATTTACTTAAATTACAGCAAGGAAAAGGTAAGTATTTCTCTATTGTCTATTATTCTGATTTTCTCTCTGTTGTTATTCAGGAACTAATGTTCTTTCCTAATGTCCCTTTAGTCTTGGGGGCTTGAAAAACCTGTGAAAAAAATTCTTTGAACTTATTCTCATTTTGCACTAATGTAATCCTTAAAGTGTTTCTCGATCGACTCATAGATCTATCCCAAAGGAATTAAAAACGTGTCCACATAAAAACGTGTACACAATGTCCATGGACGCATTATTCGTAATAGTCAAAAAGTGGAGACACCTAAATATCCATTAGCTGATGAATGGATAAACAAAATGTGGTCTTTCTCTACAATCAAATAGTTTTGGGCCATAAAAAAGAACTGAAGGATTGAAACATGCTACAGCATGGATAAATCTTGGAAACCTTATGGTAAGTGAAAGAAGACAGACACAAAGGGCCACAAATTGTATAAACTCTTTTATATGGAATATCCAAAATAGGCAAATCCATAGAGACAGAAAGTAGATCGGTGGTTGCCAGGGTCTAGAGGAGGGAGGGGGGTAGGGCGTGACTCCTAATGCATAGAAGACTTTCTTTATGAATTGATAAAAATGTCCTAAAATTAGTGGTGATGATGCAAAATTCTGTAAATTTACCAAAACCCACTGAATTATACACGTTCTAAGGGGGAATTTTACGGCATATGAATTATATACCACAATAAGGGTATTATAAAAAAAAAAGAATGCAAAAGGTGACAGTTGTCTTTTAGAAAGAAAAAAAAGCATTCAATATCAGAATATATTCTTCCTGGAAGTAGCATAATATGATAACTCGTGGTAGCTGTTTTTTAAGGATAGTTTGATGTGCCTTTCATAATCATCCTGAAGACACTTTTGAGTATAACAAACGTATAAATATGTAACTCAATTGACTAAAGTGTAAGAAAAATTTGCCACTTGTAATTGGACTATATTTAAGTCTATGATTCTCAGAATAGAGGGAAAACTGATGACATTTGTGGGCTCAAAAGCAATATTAACAAAAACTTGATTCTTTAATTAATTGCTGTCCTGAACGTGGAAAAGAGCCAACTCTCCCTATCGTGGTGTTCATGGAATTTAAACTACATCCCAGCCTCCTCCTTCAAGCTAAAAATGATCACATATACATTTCTCGCCTACATGTTTAATTCTAAAAGCAGATATTTTTTGTTGACTTCTTGAAGGGAGGTGGGTTTTCTGGGACCTTGGGAAGCTGGAGACATGAAGATTTTTTCAGTGACACATGGGCGCTGATTCTGCTTTTCTCCCAGGTTGAGGATGGCTTTGTTGATACTGTTGGTTTCTAGAACTAGATGATCCGAGTGGTTGTAAACATTCATTGTAATGAAAGCAAATAGATTGTGAGCATAATTTTTCCAGAATGGTGATATAAAGCTGACAATAAATGGATAGTGACTTTCTTCTGATTTATCTATGCAGAGTTCAGTGTCACCAGCACACCCCATGGAGGCGGAAACCACACACCAACATACTATATCCAGCCCTGCTCTGTGTGACCACCTTGTTCCAATTAATTTCTCTTTCGTGTGTGTGTACGTGTGTTTGGTTTCTTCCTGCCAATCTTCAAACCTGACTTATGAAGCTGCTCCTCTACAGTAGGTATTGAAAGAAAAATGATAAAGAGTAATTATTACTGAGATCGTTACCGGCCATCTCGATATAATATACATAATAAACTTGATTATCATAAACAACCACAGTTGTACTCTGTTGTGCCCAAGACCCTGTCTTAGGTGCTGGTGATTCAAAGAAGAATAACACAGAGTTTCTGTTCTCAATGTCCTTACAGTCTATTTGGGAAGATAGGATATTTATTCATTCAGTAACGGTGACTACCGTACACTGTGGAGAATACAAGGAAGAAAAGGACATGGGGTCTACAGTCAGAGAGCTCACAAAGGCCGTGAGGCAAGTATGCAAATAGTATAATGGGTAGAAATGAAATAGTCCAAGAAAGGAATGCTGGAGTATAATTTAAATGTCCTGTCTTGCTGCATATTGATATACAGTCTCATTCTTGAGGAAGAGCCCTTGTCTGATTGAGTTACAGTCTGAACTAGCAGATGTTTTTCATGGAACACAATTTTTATCTTCAAGAGTGACTGGCAGACAGACATACTGTGGTTATTCAAATTTGAGTATGTGGCAGACAATTCCCCAAAAATGAACTCAGCCTATTTTTTCAAGGAAAGCAACCAACAGTGTATGTTGTAATTGTAAAAATAGAGCTTTCAAAGAAAAAATTAGAATTTTAGAAACTTGTGTATGTGGCTGTGAGCTTGATAGCTTCCCAAAACTTTTAAAACTCTTCTGAGGATATTGATGGTGTTATAATACAATGAAATGTGTCCACATTTAGGAGATCTACAAAACTGAGCAAGCCATTATTTTCCAAATGACCAATGTATGTTATAAAATCAGGCATGGGTTAAAGATCCATTCACGGCATAAGATAGACCAATGTAACTTAGTGTAACAGAGTCTGTAAAGTTCATTATCATGATTTCAGGTTACACATTGCACCTAACATCTCAGAAGCTGCTCTCTATTTTGGGTGCCATTTTGAAAATAATATTCACAATTATCTGAAAAGCCTATTAAAATACTTCCTTTTCTAACTATATATCTGTATAAGGCCTAATTTTCTCTATATACTTTGAGCAAAACAACATACGAGAGCAAACATGAGAATCTGTCTTTTATTAAGACAGGCATTAAAGAGATTTACAAAATGAGAGATTACAAAAATGTGAAACAATGCCACTCATTTCACTAAATTAAAATATTTTCCATAAAATATATTATTTGTGTTTATGTATAATGGATTTATTATTTTTAAAAGCATTAGCAAATAAGTATTTTAAATTTCTCAATTATAATTTAAAAACAGGTAAGTATAGATAGGACCCTCATAAACAAAAGCTCTTTAGGGTCCTCAGTAATTTTACGAGTTAAAGGAGTCTTAAGCCTCAATGTTTTGAGAACCACTCAATTAGATCACTCTACCATTCAACTAGGCTAGTTATGGTGGGATAACCCCCAAATCACAGTGCCTGAACACAAGGAAAGTTTTCATAAGCCAAGATTTTTTGTGTTGGGTGACTCTCCAGGCCAGTGTCTTTCATGTGGCAACTCATCATTCCAGGCTTTCAGAACCTCTGTTATATTGTAGTTGCACCACCGGAACATGAAAACTTA